TTCTGAGCTCAGAATGGACCTGCGTCAGCTTTTAATGGTGGAGACGTTTCTCCCTGGTTAAGCTACAGGTGACGGACAGACTTTTTAAATTGTTTTATTTTTTGCGAAGCTGCACAGGCTGTTTGTCTTCCTTATTTACTGAATGAGAGGAGGAAATGTTCTGTGCTGCTGTGTGTGCGCATGTGTGTAACTGCACTGCTGTCCCTCCCTCTGCCTTCTAAATGATTGACAGACCACCGACTAACATTTTCGTTCAGTCTCATCTCGTCAACRAAAACTCACACACTTTTCGTCACGTCGTCATCAGAGAGCTATGTTTATTTTGTTACCGTCTCGTTATCGTCATGAAAAAAGGGGGCATCAACGAAAATATTTCGTCATCGTTAACGAAAACAACACTGTTATGAATGTAGCCATAGACTCCTGCCTGGTTGTGGTTCTGGTAAAAAATCGCTTTTGTTTATGACGATTTGAGGTCAGCTACAATAGCAGCCGTTGCGATTTCATTGTACTTCTTATATTTAGCTTTGTGCAACCTGTTGTAGTGGCGACCTCAGTTAAAATTCCTCATGGCACACAGCATCTCTAAGCAGACTAAACACATAGGTTTGCCTTGAAATTCTTTGAACAGATATTCTGCCTCCCATTTCACCTGAAACATGAGATTTTATCTGTCCAGTTTTTTCTTTCCTCTGTTCTTAGGCCCCGTTTACACGGAGCTGGTTTTCAGTRAAACCTCAACCTTTTTGTTGTGATTGTTGCTCGTTTAAACGTCACCAGAGATCTGAGTCTCTGGCAGCTTTTGAAACCAGATTTCAGAGTGGAAGTTTTCAGTAACACCCCTCGCAGAGGTGTGAAGTACTCTGCAGTTGTGAAAGCGCACATGCACACAGCAAAAGATTATTTTTTTTGTGTCACTCACCTTTTGCAGCATGAAGGAGCAAAACCAASAACCATTCTAGGTCTGAAGGAGCTAGGTTCAGATGTAATTGTGATTATGCAGACTTCGTGATCTTCATGAGTGTGACGGGCACACACCATGGTTAAACATCTCTCTCATCCGTAGAGAGGATATGTGCAAGAGGTGACGTCTGTGTTGGAGGCCCCATCTAGTGGCAAACTTTGTCATTACAACAAATTCAGTGCCACTGAGACACTTTCACACAGCCTGCGGACCACCAGTTGCCCATCCCTGTGTTTGTCAAACTTTAAACCCTCTGTAATAACCCCATTTCTTGASTGTGACACACTTAGTTTAAAAAAAGCCCAACTTTTTCCTAATAATATTAACATAAGTTTGATGTGTGGCTTGTTTATTTAAAGTTTGTGTTTCTTACAACCACCTAGGTGCTGCAGTTCCCTCCAGATCTGTACCACTACATCACAGGAGAGCTACACAAGCAAGTGATCCTGGTGTTGAACAAAGTTGACCTGTGTCCTCCTCCTCTGGTGATAGCCTGGAAACACTACCTGACCTCCCAGTTCCCTCAYCTGCACATAGTTTGTTTCACCTCCCATCCTGGACAGTCCTACAACACAGGTGAGCTCAGGCAGGAGTTAGCTGGAAACTAATGGAGGACTAAATGATTTCAACATAGCGGCGTGTTCATCCTGCTTTATTTATTCATTTTTTTGTATTTTGTCTTTGTGGTAGTGCTCCAGAAGAGGAGGATGAGGAGGAAGGCTGACTGGAGTCACGCTGGAGGTCTTATTGAAATCTTTAAAGCTTGTCAGGAGATCACAGCAGGGAGAGGTGAGAGAACAAGTTCATGCACTTCTCATGTTTATTAACCTAACTTGGGCATTTACTGTTGATTAATGACCTTTCGTTTAATCCCTGATTTCTTACACATATTTGTAATGTTTTGTGTCTCAGTGGACCTGTCCAGCTGGGAGCAGAAGATCCAGAGAGATGCTGCTGCAGCACGACTCGGCGAGGAGCAGTCGGATGAAGGGGCTGAATCTGTGCTGGTGGAACATCAAAGTGATAGTGCTCTGGAGATGAGTAACCCAACACAGGAGCTCTACAAAGACGGGGTTCTTACGTTGGGCTGCGTAGGTGAGTTTTATAAGAAAACACCTAAAATATAAAACACATAATTTCAGAAGATAAATTTTAGAAATTTGGCAAAATACTGACATGATGGAGATAAAACCCCATATTTATTCTTTGTTTCAGGTTTTCCAAACGTTGGTAAATCATCCATTATCAACAGTTTAGTTGGGAGGAAGGTTGTGAGTGTGTCTCGGACKCCAGGCCACACCAAATACTTCCAGACCTACTACCTCACCCCRACAGTTAAACTCTGCGACTGCCCTGGACTGGTCTTCCCCTCACGTGTCAATAAGCAGCTGCAGGTAGGACTGTGGACTTGAGTGCAAATGCAACTTTGAGATTACAAATCGGATTTTTGGCCGCTTAATGTGGTTAGAGCTGATGCGTCACAGCAAGAAGGTCCTGGGTTTGATTCCCAGTTCAGACCAGGGATTGTGTGGAGTTTGCGTGTTCTCCTTGTKTTTGTRTGTGTTTGTCTCCAGGTGCTTCGGTTTCWTCCCACAGATCAAAAACATTCACAACATGTTACCCTCAGGCCTCCCTTGTAAAAGAAATCTGTGATCTCAGTGGGATTTGTCTGATTAAATAAAAGTAAATAAATAACATTAGATAAAGTAATACTTTTATAGATTTATTAGCTGCTTCAAACAGCTATTAGTTGAGCTGATGATGTTCTGGGTTTCCTCTGATCGCTGCTCGACTTGTGCCTGGTTCATGCCGCAAGATTTTGCGATTTTCAGTTGATTTTCAAAACCCGAGAGACACCACACATGAGGATAAAAAATAATAGATTTAACAGGTTTGGTCCTACAGTGTGTGCTGTACATCTACATTACAAGAGACAACACAACAGATTTCACTCACACACATTCAGATATTTGACAGGAAATCTCGCAAAACCTCTTGAAATCAAACGTGAGCTCAAATGAACATGGCTGACTAGGAAGAAACAATGACAATGGTGATAGTTTGTGGATTATTTTTAACAGAAAAACAAAAAGACGTCTCTGATGTCCAGCGGACTTTCTGGTGCGCCATGGCAGTCGTTGGATTTTCCTCTATGTTTCTGCCACCTCGCTTTCTGATTGGCTGCACGTCAAATTCGACTRCGAGCTTGTTTGTTCTCAGGGAACACCACACACGTTGGGACATCGAGCCAAGACAATCCAACATGTTGAATATCTCTGGTTTGAGATCAGAGCGGTCCTGACGTCCTTCTGAGCCGATTAGATCACTGTGAAAACACCACACACAGCAGGAATATCTCATCAGATTATCTTTAGGGCCATCATGATAATCTGGATATCCTGAAGATTGTCAGATGGAGAAAATTAGGTCAAAAATCATCGTGATTGTCTTGCTGTGTGAACCTGGCATAATAAAATGTTTGGGCACTTTTGTATATTACTATTTCAAGATGTGCTGTTTTTTCATGATTAGAAGTTTCAAACCTTTTTTGTCTTTCCCTGAAGATTCTCACAGGTATTTACCCGGTGGCTCAGCTGCAAGAGCCGTACACATCAGTTGGTTATTTGTGTGAGAGGACTCCTTTTCTATCTGTACTGAAACTCAAACACCCCAGTTTGCAAGAGAAGGATCCACAGCAAGAACAACAGGGGTCTAAAGAGYCCAGTTGGACTGCCTGGGACGTGTGTGAAGGTAAGAACATATTTAAAAGGACATCTGCAAAATCCACCTTTTTAGTCATTAAACTCATTTTGTTGTGTACTTGAAGTGTGTAGGAGTGCAACAAAGTTGAATGTAGTCTCTCCCGGTGCTGCGTAGATATCGTTATATTCTGTTTGGGTCATATTTGTCAACSCTCCAGTTTTTTAAATTTCCTWTAGCGTTCTCTGAACTGTCTTGTTTAAGGCTTTCTCAGACAAAAACAGCCCAACATGCTCGATGCGAAGCACGGCCACGTGGTTGCGAGGCGTTCGTTTTCACTCACACCTTTCATAAGTTATGAGACACAYGATGCAGAGCTTCTGGGAAACCCCTCCTGCTGCTAAACATGTCAGAGGATGGGCTTCCTTCTGCTTGGAGACTCCACTGTTTAACCACAAATCTGCCACAAATAGAGCGGCACATTTTTCAACAGACGGGTTCCTCCATGCACAGTGTCTGTCGTCTCYCCAGTCAGGTGTTTTTGGCCCTTTGACTCTTTATAAGTATCTTAAATTCTCATATAGATGGATGTGCTCAATGACAACTGCTCCTCAAAACTATCTATGTTGTTTAGATGCACAACAGTCGACTTCTGGAAGCAAAATAATTAAAGCAAAATGCTGCCATTGTTGTCTAAATGCTTTTCTGCATGAACAATCGCCCACAAACTAAGGCTGGGCAGTATGACCTCAAATTCATATCACGGTATAAATTGAATCCCTTCACGGTAATTGTATAAATTGCAGTAGAAAACTATCATAAAAAGTTAAGATAGTGTAATTTTAAGAGCTTTTTTTTTTTTGCAGAAAACTAATCTTAATCAGACCCAGCATTTTTGCTTTAATATCAGCCTGCCATACAATGAGCTTCTGCCTGCTGAACTTATCAGCTGCTGCTCTGCTGCGCGCTCATCTTCATCATCAGAGCAGAAGCCGACTTTACATTAGCAAGATGGATTTATGACTGAACAACCGTCCATGTCTTTTTTTTATCATCTCTGTGGTGGGTAACAATACATAAAAACAAATTTTTTCTGCGACAACTTGAGTGTGAAAAAACAATTGTTATTAAAGCTTCGCTCTACGTGACGTGGAGGGGGGGGGGTGATCTCGACATAACTTTTCTACAGTGGGAGGGGGAAATTTTGAGGATTTACTCTCTCTTTACGCATTTTAAAACGCTATAATTTCTTGGTTTTATTTCGACCTCCACCTGCTCAGTTGTCTCTGCACTCACAGTCCTGTTCACACAGGTGCGATGACATAAYGACGATAGGACAGTAGAGGGTAAATTTCTTACCGTAAGCCAACTTCATACCGTTTCTACCGTCGGCCGCATATACCGCGCAGCCCTACCACAAACTTCTGACCAGTCACACAAAACAGCGTATTGGCCATTGAGAAAAAGTTTGGAGTAGCCTTGTGTGAAGAAGGGGAGGGCTGAGCTGTTCTGCGAACAAAATGATGCAATTATCATCATGTAGCTTCAAGTGATGAACGCAGCAGCAGCCTTTAGAGCACTAACATTATTGGTCTTAAATAGCTGTGTGCTGTTTTTTTTTTTGTAACTGTCACTTGGATTTATCTATTATATAAACCCTAGTGAATGTCTTCTAATGTGAAGCGTGCGTGCGTGAGATCTGCTTTTATGATGCATTGTGATTTTCTTTTTAAATGTAATAGAATATTTCTGCGTCACAGAGGAATAAACTATAAAAACATTTCCTTCCAGAGGCACCGCTCATTAGTTTCTAACAGTTTATTATTGGAAACAATCTCGTTGTGGCAATAAATGACACCAAGACAAAAGAAAACAAACAGACCATCTTTTATTTATGACTAATGTCACAAGTTGCTACTGTTTCTGCAGCTCATTAAAATACTGATTCTGTCTTTATGGTCTTCAGCTTGGGCAGAAAGAAGAGGCTATAAAACAGCAAAAGCAGCTCGAAATGATGTTTACCGTGCCGCTAACAGTCTGCTGAGGTTGGCGATTGATGGCAGATTGTGCCTCTGCCTCAGACCACCTGGCTACAGCTGTCTGAGAGGTAAGAGGGGCCTCTCCGCCTCACCTGGTTTAAAATGTTTGAGTTCATAAATGTCTGCTGGACAGTTTATCCTGAGGATTATTCTCGGTCCGCAGAACGCTGGGAGAACCACCCAGACCTGCCTGAGATTATGGCTCTTCAAGGACGAGCGACGGAGGAGGAAGAAAGCGACAAGGAGGACGGAGAGACAAGCAGCGAGCCGGAGGAAGAGAGAGACCGGGACGCAGACGACGATGAGGACGGAGACGATGAAGATGAGGGGTTTGGACATAAAAGACAGAGAGACGACAAGTCGTCTGGTTTTTCTGTCAACATGTACAATGTACTCGGGGAAAACGAGTGCGCGTGAAAATTTAAGAACGAAAGTAAGGTGAAAGCAGATTTAACAAACCGTTTCTCTTGCTGTCTGCTTTAGTGCACTTTTCATCCTAAAACTGCTCTCCTTCTCAGGTTTCCTCTGCAGTGTTCTCTTTCATTTTCYTTCTTTCTCCCAACAACGTACAGAGCATATTTATGCATTCCACGCCGTGCCTCTGCTCTGCTTCTTCATCCCCCAAAGCTCGGTCTTTAATTTTACTTCTACGAAAAGATTGGATTTTATTTTGCATGTAGCTCTTAGTGCTAAACGAATAAAGCAACGTTCCTGAGCGTGTAATGATCAACTCACTGGTTTTCAATCTGTTCCATTAGAACGTGACCTCATAGCTGAAATGCCAAAGTTCAGAGAGGATAATAAAACGAATCAGATGCACCGCTGGTGATATTCACTGGAAAAGGTTTAAAAGTTTAGTTTGTGGGTGGAGAAGGGATATCGGACCATAAAACTAGAACCAACATTTCAAACTGTTTTGTAGATAAATATTAGGAGTCATTAGTTTGAACTTGGTTTGGTTTGGATGGTGTGTCGGTGAGAATCAAACTGCATTTGGTTGAAATTTTAAAATCTTTTCAGATGAGAGGGTATTGAATGCCTTACCGAACAAGGCTTATTTCAGGATTAAACTCGTAGTGTTTTAACTACAACAGCTGTCCTCCGACACTGAGAGGAGTTTTCAGTATTTAGCAGGATTTTGWTGCACTTGTACAACATATTTGTGTTGTAATGGAAGTACGGCAGGTTCGACTGAACAAAGTCTGCTTTAAAAATCAGCTCTAGAGATATTTTAACATTCTTCAAAACAGTCGCTACCACTTTTTTTTTGATTAAACGTGTCCTTATAGTTTTGCACAGAGACTAGAAAAAGATATTTTAATAAATGATAAACAACAGATTGTAAYTTTAAATATGCAAGCAGCAGAGTTCAGAACCTCCCAAATGCAAGTTTCAATGTTATTCATAAACTAAATGTGTTTATAAAACATAAGACAGCATATTAGGGCCAGATTGCGAAACTAAAATTTTAAATTATGAGAATAAAGTTGTAATATTATGGGGATTTAGTCATGTGGGAAAAAAAGTCACGCGAGAAAAAGTCCTACAAGAATAAAGTCTATATTATGTGAAAAAAGTATGAAAAATACATAATATTATGAGAACAAAGTTACAATCTTGCATAAAAAAGTTATACAAGAATAAAGTCATGATATTATGATAACTTCCTCATAAAAATCAGTCACTGTGCTAAAATGAGGAATGTTGAGCCTCTTGTGAATTTATATTTTGGTATCGGTTTTACACATTGGCATCAAATTATCAGTTGCAGGAAACTGTTCAAACAGCTGTGTGTGTTTAGAAGAGTTTATTTTATATTATGACTTTATTCTCAGAACATTTTGAATTTCTCATAATATGAAAAAAGTAATTTAAAAAGATTCTCTTAGTTTGGCCCTAATACTCTGTCGTAAAAACAAGATATAAAGAGGTATATTTTCTTATTTGTGAGTAAAACAACCTGTTTCTTTTTTGTTTACAGTCTTCACTCAGCCTGTCTGCTGCTAGCTGCTCCTGTCAGTGCAGAAACTCAAGGAACCGACAGAATGATTTACCTAATTTTTTAATTTGTCCTTAAAATACCACGAAGGAGRAACTAATCACCACAGAGTATACTGTATTTTGTCCTTGCCTGTAAATATCCGACTCTCATACCTCAGAAATGACATAAACCAAGAAATGTTCAGCTGTTTTGTTCTGACGTGCGGTGGCTTTGCTGAAAACCAGAGTGCTGTGTTCTTATAGGTGTGCTGCTGTGACTCATCCTCAGCGCAGTGTTGTGTTACCGTGTAATACACCACAAAAACAGCCATCACACAGTCGTTTGTACCGAGTACAGTGAAGGCAAATGCTTTACACTACTATGCTGTTAGAAACAGCAGACTCTTATTTGTATTTTTATTTTATTTTCCTGGAAATATGAAAATCATCTGGAGAGTGCAGCGTGGGCGGAAAGGCTGGAGGTGTGTTCAGGCTGTTTTCTGCATTCCTCTCTTTTTCATTCCCAGTACGCCTTCTGATGACTGCTTTCTGCAATTAAAGAAAGAAAACCCATCAAAATCCAACTGGTGTCTCTGYGTGTTTACATCACATCTCATGAATTAAAAAAGAAAATATAATTAAACTAGTCTTCAATTGAACAAACTGGGGAGCTCACAAATGAGCAGAAACCCTATACTCTGTGTAGAGATTTAAAAACTTGTTAATCGTCTAATTACTTGTTTTTATTGGTTCATCGGATAAATCATTATTGAAGTTAGCCTTACCGATGTGAACGATAAGCTGTGAGTCTCAGATCGATTTAAATCCTYCCCAGATTACGACGGAATTAAATTTCCCAAAGGTCGATCCTGAAAGCAGATAATTCAAAATGTGCTCAACCACAAACTCAAGTCATCCCATCCTGTAGACCAATGYATTCTCTCCTGTTTTTCTTTGACAGGGAAGTGGTTTTTTAATTATATGTTAATGATTAGTTTAATGTAAATTATTTTTCACATTTGCAGTGAAACTTCCATAGTAATTAAAGATTTTTATTCATACACTCGTTCTGTTCAGGGTGACCTGCCTGTGGCATACCAGTACTTTGTCTTGATTTAAAATATCATTATATTGCATAAACTACTAAAGAATAAATATTTTACTAAGAGGAAATTGTCCCTTGTGATTGCCTTGCTAATGTATATTTAGAACTATATTTCTTCATTAGCTGTATGTAATATTTTATAGTTGTGGCTAAAAATATTGTGTTCAGATCCCAGATGGTAAATGGACTGAACTTATACAGCACTTTATCAAGTCCCTCCGGACCCCAAAGCGCTTTACGCTTACWGACGTTCACCCATTCACACACACATTCACACACTGATGATGACAAACTACACTGTAGCCACAGCTGCCCTGGGGCATACAGTACTAACAGAGGTGGGGCTAAACAGATACGTAGCTAAATTTGTCTGGTCCAGTTCTRGCCCACACAATGCAACAGTCCGTTCAGATACCGCAAATAATTACAGCTGKTTAGTAGTACAGAGGTGGTCCATGCATGGACCATCACCACATGAACCAAACCACAACCAGGCCAGATGTACACTGCTCAAAAAATAAAGGGAACACTTAAACAACGCATGCTAAGTCCAAGTAAATCAAACTTTTGTGAAGCACAGAACTCTGTACAGAACAAAGTACTCAATGCGAATATTTCATTGATTAAGATCGTGAGTTAGCGTGCGTTCTTTAAGTGTTCCCTTTATTTTTTTTTTGAGCAGTGTAGTATTGACAGATTTGGGCCACTAAAACCAAACCACGACTGGGCCAGTTGTGGTGTGACACTTTCAAAACAGTGCCATCGTACCCCAAATTGTAAGATAMATAAAAACAAATAAGATTTTCTTTCTACTTGTATAACTTTCTTAGACGTGGAGCTGACAAACTTTTTACTTGAAATGTGAACTGGAACACATTCATTGGGGTTTTGATAGCAGCGTCCCAGTATCAGTACTGGTATTGGTACCGGTTCAGAGTATTAGGGCATTTTGTGCGACTCGAGTACTTGTAAAAAACAAGCATGCTGCAGATTGAAGGGCAATCCTGACCACTGATCTACTGCAGCCTTTTACAAAAAAAAAAATCTCCATTATTGTTTTTTATTCCTAGTTTTTTTGTGAACTTTCTTCACAAATTTTTCAAATTGCATCAACAAGACTTTAAAAGCATATGGAGTAAATCATCACTTTTCTCAACTTCTAATAATGTTATTTCCATAATTGTCAGATAAAAAAACAAAACACTTCCTTATGATTTACGTCTCCTTTGAGGCCTGCCTGTCACTGTCGTCATGTTTATCGAGGTTTGCCAACATTTTTTCTGCTCCCGAYGCCTCTTCAGTCTTCTTGTCAAAGTAAATCTGGCTCATCTCCGTTGGGCGAGATGAGACATTGTGATTATAATCCCTCCTGCTGTAATTATTATTATTTAAACCATGAGGTGTGTGGGGGGRAAGCCCTCAGTTTGCGTCAGTCAGTCATGAACTCTGAGGGGAGGAAGTGAGGAGTGGTGGAGCTGTTACCAATCATTTCCTCACAGTTCTGACTGTATTGTGGCCCCTCAGACCTGTATGGCAGTAATTACAGCCAAAGACCCCAGATTTACTGGGGCACGACACCGTAAATTTTAAAACTGTTAATTAAATTCTGCTGTGTCGAACGTTTTTATTGCCGGCATCGGCCGCAGCAGTAATACTTGTGTGGTTTGAATTTAATCCTCCTTTATTTAACTATTATTATTTTGAAAGGTTTTCACATGATGCAATCAGGTTGTTGTGGTGTCCCCCTCCCACTTCCTTTTTTTCTGTCTTTTCTTTGTTTGCACTCATCCCTGCTCCCTGTGTGACCTCGGCCTGCAGGCTGCAGAAGAATGAGATCCTGAAGCAGAAACACTTCAGGTGATTTTATACGCCTCCCTTGACTCAAACACAAAAACGGGTGTGTGAAAAGAGGACAATGAATGTTTTCACTTCAAACACCAAACTTAAAAAAATACATTAACCACCCCATTTAGCTTGGTGGAAAACAGAACTGCACCGAGCCTCGTTACAGGAAATGATGGTTGTGTTTGGGCTGGCAGGTCCTCTCCTGCGGTCACTAGAGGGCTATCAAAGCCAGCAGCTGGGCTGCTGAGAGCTCTGCTGCAGAAACCTGCAGGCTGCTCCTTCCTGCTGTTAGTAGTGTGCACTTGTAGCACTATTTTACAACCATAACTTTATCACCTCACAGGTTGGGTCACAGACTATTCTGTGTGTGTGTGTGTGTGTGTGTGTGTGTGTGTGTGTGTGTGTGTGTGTGTGTGTGTGTGTGTGTGTGTGTGTG